TATATACTTGTCTGAACCAAAAGTAAATAACACCAATCACAAGACTAATCTTTCACAATAAACCTCGAATCTCAAAAAGTGAAAATTGATCAACATGTATATTTGTGAAACGTCTGTAAAATTCGTGATAACAAAAAACACACAGGAGATATATATCTTGTTGCATGTATGCTGCTCACAGTATGAAACCCTCGAGCTAAAACAATTAAATCATCTGGGAAAATATTGAAAGTTTCAGTGATATTTTGAACAATAAACTTGAAATTATTGAAAACAATTGTGTGAAGATGTTATTCACCATCAACTTGAAATGATTATGATGACGGTGGTGGGGATGATTAGATTCAGTCTGTAGAGTTTAAGATATTACCAAGAAGTGAAGCAGATGTTTTATACAAATCATGGAGTAATACACAAAAGGAGAATTATTCACTTCTAGAGAAATGTGAAATAAATAACCACTTATTGATACAAATTTTGGTAATAATTCGAATCAATCAATACATCATTTCCTGGGGTCTAGTAGAAACAGGATATCTCACAAAATAGCTCTCAAGCGACTTAGTTAATTGTTGGTCTAATATGGAAACTCTTGTAACAATGAGGAGTTATTCCTCAGGGGTTAATTTGTCTGGACATTTCTTCTGAATGCTTGATATCGAGTTAAATAAGGAGCTGGAGTGAAGCATCGATAGAAAAATATGTTTAAATAGAAATGCGTATCCGCCTAATAGTTCATTATAAATGAGATTCTATTTTGAAAACGTGTCACATATTGTTATACATTAAGTAATATTTACGGATGACCACGTTTCGAGCACAACTTGTCACTCCTCATAATCATATCTAATTACTCACCTAACTTTTTACTTCATTTATATACATGAGTGGAATTCATCAGATATTTGAATAAAAAATCAGTGTCAATGAAATACAGTTAGATGAGAAATAAGACGAGTGTTTTTAGTCAGAATAAGTCACTTGTCAGAATTTTCATAATGTACGCGAATAGATATAGAATTTTAAGATTATTTATTATCCTCCTCTGATTTGACTGTCTTGTGGTAATATCTTATACATCTCTGGTATTTGCATTGAAACATTTCCCTTGCATGCGTCGGGTGGAGACTCGATGAAACAGACAGGATTCAGAAATCAATCTCTCTTGCTCTCCACCTACCTATATCGGTTCTTACATTTATAACCCTCTCCTACCCTATTGTGTGCTTGTGTGTTAATCCATGCAGTGTCACTCCTGCTGAGGTTTTTTCAATATTACTCATTTTTACGAGTTCAGTCATTCTAGCCCTAGACAAATTCTTATGTTCTGGCAATCTGACTACTCCTGACCTACTCGTTTGACCTATGTTTTTGAAAAAATAAAAGACATCTTCAGTTTCACCATACAAGGAGAAACCATATCAAACCCTACCTAGGATTCCTAATAAAGCACGAATTAGAGTGGCATTGACACCTACGAATTCATTGAGGTAAGACCAGCTATTTTGGTAGGTTGAAGGACCCTGTCGGTTGACCCATTCAGACAAATTAACGTAATTTACAAAATACCTGACAGTGAATATGAGTTAAGTCAACTACATCGGTCAAACTAGTATACTTGAAGTAGTTAGACCGTCAGAATATTAGAATTTAGCTAAGGTTACAATGAATGACCCCACTCGTGATGATTGGTAATATTGGTAACAGCTCAGCGATTACAGCGTACGTAATAACATAAAATCATACAATAAGGGTGGAAGAGAGTTCAAATTCTAATAAGTAATATAGTCAGGTAGAGTGTGAGACAGGCGGACTACTGAATCCTAGTTCATCGAATAATTTACACCCAACACACGCGATCAGAATGGCTAATCATCAATAGCAGTGATATCGAAAATAATACTGCCAATTAAACAAAGAGATGAGAAATACTGGAATCATATAAACGAAGTTAGAAAATTGTGTGAGTAGTGACTTGATATGAATATGAGCAGTGATAAATTGTACTCGAATCGCGGTCATCAGTAAATATTGAGGTATAAAACTGTATGAGATTTTATCAAAATAAATTTCACCCACAATAGAAGTGTCATATATACTTGTCTGAACCAAAAGTAAATAACACCAATCACAAGACTAATCTTTCACAATAAACCTCGAATCTCAAAAAGTGAAAATTGATCAACATGTATATTTGTGAAACGTCTGTAAAATTCGTGATAACAAAAAACACACAGGAGATATATATCTTGTTGCATGTATGCTGCTCACAGTATGAAACCCTCGAGCTAAAACAATTAAATCATCTGGGAAAATATTGAAAGTTTCAGTGATATTTTGAACAATAAACTTGAAATTATTGAAAACAATTGTGTGAAGATGTTATTCACCATCAACTTGAAATGATTATGATGACGGTGGTGGGGATGATTAGATTCAGTCTGTAGAGTTTAAGATATTACCAAGAAGTGAAGCAGATGTTTTATACAAATCATGGAGTAATACACAAAAGGAGAATTATTCACTTCTAGAGAAATGTGAAATAAATAACCACTTATTGATACAAATTTTGGTAATAATTCGAATCAATCAATACATCATTTCCTGGGGTCTAGTGGAAACAGGATATCTCATAAAATAGCTCTCAAGCGACTTAGTTAATTGTTGGTCTAATATGGAAACTCTTGTAACAATGAGGAGTTATTCCTCTGGGGTTAATTTGTCTGGACATTTCATCTGAAACCTTGGCATTGATTGAGATGAAGAAGTAGGGCCAAACATCATCAGAAAATCATGTTTAAATCGAAATTCACAATTTTTTAATCGTTCCTGCTTATATGAGTATCTTAACTCTTTTACGTAACTGCTTTATTCAACTTCTAAGCTTCAGTCAGTTATCCGGTGATTAATTTTATTTTGGGAAGTAATTATCCGATTAAGCACACAACGATGTTGCTTACTATTTATTATTTATTATTATTATTTATTATGCGTCGGTGGCACAATGGTTAGGACTCTCGACAACCATGCACATGGTCCGGGGTTCGAGCCCACACCGGCGCACACCAGATATCTATGGTCGGCCTGTGAAATTTGGGCTACCGATATCCACGCTGAAAATTCCATACCTGTACCAAAAATACAGTGTGGAATCAAACTGTTACCAAAAATATAAAAAATAAATTTGATATGAGTTTTCGCCTTTGCAAGAACTGACGTGGAGTAATGCTTCTGTCCAAGTCAAGCAAAATACTAATTTGAGTCATTTTGGAGAGAATAGAGGAAGCACTGGATACAGAACTCCGTCAGCCACGAATGGGGTTGGATGGACTCCTAAAAGGAAAATCATGTGCTGATCAAATTGCAACTCTACGCATCGTCATCATCGAACAAGTCATAGAATGGTAATCAAACCTCTTTGTACCTCAACTTCATTGACTTTGAAAAGGCCTTTGACAGACAGTGTTTACTGGGAAGTTGTTTGGATACTACTCCAAAACTAAGACCTGCAGTGCCCAATTCTTTATCAGCCTCATCCAACAGCTATAGGACAATGCCACGCGACAGGTGATCCATGATGGAAAACTCAACAAAGCCTGCCTTTGAAGTGAATACAGGAGTACTAAAAGGCTGACTGCTTTCCTATTATCACTAATGATATTCTAAATCATGATGGAATGTACCATGCGTCAGACTGTGCGTTGGGAGCAAGGAGACTGGAATATGCTGGACCACCGATAAGAGGACTCTAGAAGATCTGGATTTCGGAAGTGATATATGTCTTATGTCTCACAAACTCGAAAACCCACAAGTGAAAACTGGCTGAAAACGGCAGGTAGCGGACACAGAACTGACTCCAGGCGAACATAGAGAAGGTGGGCACGGAGGTGATAAAGATAGCCTGAGAACCACAACAACAACAACAACCAATACCAGTCGCCATCAATAAGGGAGATCCGACAGAGGTTACCGCCTTTACTTATCTGGTCAGAAGGCGTCGTCTCAACCATAGGCAGTCGGAACGGATGGAGATTTCGAAGCCAGCCAGTTACAGTCGGAAAGGCGAGATACGCCTTCATCAACCTAGCGCCATTCAGGAAATCTTCTGATTCATTCGGCATAAGGAACAAGATTTTGTTCAACAACAATTTCAAGTGGTTTATTCTCCAAGGATCAGGGACTTGCACTGCATGTCACGAAATGGATTTCTAACAACCAGATGCAGACTTTAATCAACAGCTGCCTAGGCTGGCTGCATACTGAAGATCATATGGGTGGCTGGAAGGATTTAGTAACAAAAACCTCGTAGAACACACCAGCCAATAGCTGATTGCTCAACAAATATGTATTAGAAAACAGAGATGGATCGGGCGTACACTGAGGAAATCGTAGAGTGGAATCCCAATGGGAAGCGACGACTGGGTTGTCAGTGTTAGGTTAACATGAAGGAGGTCGTGTGTTGTGGAGGTGAAGATTAGAGATAATGGGCAGTTTTTGGCTCACCTTTGTTGAAAAGGACGGCAGGGAAAAGGAGAAAGTGGAGATCGGTTGTTGAAGCCTTATGTTCCACTGGGAACCCAAAGGATTAATAGTATAATAACAATTATAATAGTAATCAGATACCACTCATATTAACCAATAATATTTGTTGGCCCAATAGATCGAATTGCCGTACACCCCAGACATATGTTACATTTGTTTGAGATCAGCTCATCAGCAGTGTACTTGATTTCATCAAAGTTTGTCAGCCGAATCAGTTGAGATCACCAGATATCTGACTAATGACTTTGATGAACTGGTATTGCTGTAAATGAAATTTTTGTTTGGCAAATGAATTTGTAATTTTACACAATCTGAGGTGGCATTTCCGCGCAGTTCCATTCAGAAACCAAAATTACACAGATCAGAATGTATGATTTGTTCGATTGCATATTAGGTGGTTGGAGGCAGTCGGTCACAAGAAGCCCAGCCTGACCTAGGGTTCATGCCAGTTGACACCTCTTCCTGAGATTCAAACCAGTATCACCCAGTCGTGTAGAACTGTATTGGGTATTGTTTTGATTGGACACCATTCAGTAACTATTGTAATATGTCTAGTCCTTCTATCTTTAGTGCAGACTGAGTTATATCAGTCAAGTTTGCAATGTGGCTACCATGCCATTGGGTGGCTTGCCATCAATGTCCAGTCAGTCAAGTTATTTCGAGTTCGATCCCTGGCAAGCACACTTGTTCACCTCGCTTAACCTGTTGTAAGGTACTAAAAGATGGAAGATTGGGTATGAGACTAGCAAAGCAATATCGTAAAAAGACATCAACACTGCTACTGAAACCAAAAAGCTCTAATTTAAAGGCATGTGTCCCTCTGGGAGTTCAAACGAACAACTTGGATATCACTCATATCAACCGGTTGTTCTTATTAATTGTATGATATATAACAATTTAATTGGTAACTCACCTTGAACGACCAAACACTTGATAATATTGATTTAATGCTGCTAAATAATCCACCATTTGTTCATAAGAAGTGAAATATTCCGGTCGTTTAGGCATTCCAGCTGGTGCCTGCATCATCGCCTCTGTAGCGGGGAATTTCAAAGAATTATCTATATGAATTAGACAAGTATATGCCTTATAATGAATATATTTCAGGCAGGCTTTAATATCCACCTTCTTCATTAAATCATCCAGTGATGGTAGAATTAAGCTGAAGGTTATTTGTAATAAAAGAACAACAAATGTCAACAGCCAGGCAATCCGTTGATCTTTAAATTTCGATTGAATTATTGTCAGATAAATAAAGATAATATTTATTGGCAGCTCAGGAGGATTAAATTCCCTGATAATGTAGCGTTCAATACACTCCGTGTTCCAACCATTTATCCTTATCGGTGTTTTATAGCGCTCAGCATAGCTATCGCAACAACACCGTAAGCCAAAATTCAATAAAGTATAAACTAGGATAAAATTCAACGGAAACTGGAATAATAATCTATTCAATCTAGTTTTGTGCATAGATCGTTTTTTCTTTTCTTTTTCTTTTTTCAAAAAGTTTGAATGAATTTCACTTCAGCACACAGTTGAAATGAATACTAACTGAGTTCTAAATGCATTCACTGCTAGGAAACATTTGTAAAACAAAAGCGTTTTTTTTTGTTGTTGTTGATGAAATGACCTCAGTCAGTCTTTAGACATCATTTTATTGAATAACTCCTTTTATGATGTAAAAGTTAGATACATAATGTGTTTTTGCTTTAAATTTAAATTATTTTCTCCTCTTATTTCTTTTTTGTAGTTTTTGATCACTCCGTCCTTTTCAACAGAACAAAATGTTGTTGTTTTTTTTGGTGTGTGTCTTTTGTGGCGACCTTCACCGAGTTGATTTAACCAATCAAAATAATCGACCAATCAGAATTCAAGGTTTATAGACTTCACATTAGATTTAAAGCATTTAATTTTTAGGATAAAAATTGGTTGGAGAGAGAACAATTATGATTTCAATAAAGTTACTCTTCCTAAGATTCTACAATTAATAATAAAGCCATTAGTTTAAGCATACAATAGCCAGCCAGTAAAGATAGATTAGAATCATATCAAACAGTATATTGGATGTTTCCATATTCCTCTGCGTGAGGCTTGAAGTTTCGGTAGCAGTGGTGCTTATTTTTACAGGTTGACCAATCTTCCTTCTTTACCATCAGTCTTATTACTGGCTTATCGATGTAGAGGAGTGCGTCCACTGGCCGGGGAATGAACTTTGGAGCACATGAGGTGAGCATTCTACCGCTGTGCCACCGACACACAGAAGGTATTGTATTGTGAAATAAGCAGTGAAATGGGATGGAACAATAGTCAATTAGTTTTTGAATATGCATAATTAATGAAGACATGGGAGTAATCGGTGGTGTGTGTGAGACAATATTGAATACTACAGAAAAATAAACCATTAAATAGGATGAACTAGACGCAAGCTCATTGGTGACAAATAACATTATTAATAATAATGAAATAATAATAACGACGTGGTGTAAACTTAAAATTAACACCATTGGTGAATGATTGTCAAACAATAATCACCCAGAACACCGACTGAGTCATGAAGAACACAAAATACAATTCAGTAAAGAAAATTTTCTTTATCGATGAAATCATCTTCAGAGGTTGCATGTACAGTCGTATTTATATTTAGCAAAAATGTATAGTAGTCCATTATTGAGTAATACGAGGGGTGACATAATTGATATAATCACTTAGATGTGGCTTCTAAATTAGAAATGAAAATTGCTAACAACGTAATACTCAATAACAGCACAAAGAAAGAAGGCGCTAGAAATTTGAATGAGGAGAAAGGCGGTAGTTGAGTGTCCATTTAACAAGTTCGAAGAAGGTTGAAAAACGTACATGAGGAACATATGAGAGTAATAACAGTGAATTGATTAATAGAGTAAATGCAAATTAATCATCAAAAATAGAAAAAATTACAAGGAACGACTAGTGAAGAGTTTAAGGGCATGGTAGAATAAGAGACAGAAGAAACGTTTTCTGTGTAAAGAGTTCGGGCTTGTATTGAAGAATTTCCAACGCCTCTGCCATACACAAATGCCGAAACCTGACATCCTTTATATCATTTGGCCTCACCTTATAGACAATATTTAAAGAAGACTCTTATCAGAGCAGCGTGTCTTGACTTCACCAAATGCTCGGAAGTTGAGCTAGTAATTGTCCTGCATTATCCTTTTGATAACCATTCCTCATGATGCTCAGGGATGCATTTCGAAAGTCTGCGCTTTTTGCGGCCAATAGAACCATCTCCACAGCAGAAAGTGAATTTATAAACACACAGTGAAGTGTCTCATAGTGGCAGTAGTTTATACTTCACATATACATTGATCATTTGTCGGTTATAGTAGTTGATCCATTGCTTATCCGAAAAAATGGCTCTCCTCAGTGATCTGCATGAGCGATTCTTCAGGAGCTCAGCTGCGGTCAAAAAGAAGTTATGTAATAATACGAAGAGTTTGATAATTAACTTTTACTCAAGATACACATAGGAACAAAGTAGAGATTACGAAATTACGTAAGAGCTCTAAATGAATGCAAGAATTATATCATTTCACCTGCTCCTTTGGAGCCAGGTACATAGGTCGTTCGACGCACACCCTGTCCAAGAGGATTCAAGAATACTATTCAGTATGGTCACGAAAAGGCAATAGTGTTGCAATAAAGAGTGCGACAATTGAACGCCTGGTTAACACTGATCATTCCATTTCAACAAACCCCACCTTCAAAGTAATCCACAGATTCACGAATAACCTACCAAATGCAATACAGTTTCGTCTTCTTTGTATCGCTGAAGCTCTGGTCATTCACATAGAAAAACCGGAGCTGTGCATACAAAAGAGAGAATTACTCAACCACTTCTACTGTCATGGTAACAACTTTGTTGATTTTTGTTGACTTAATTTTGTTAGTTTGCCTGTTTCTTTAATTGTCTATAATTCTTGCATTCATTTGGAACTCTTACGTAACTTCGTACTGTGTACTTTGTTCCTATGTGTATCCTGGGTAAAAGTCAATCGTCAAACTATTCATATTATATCACATAACTTCTTTTTGACAAGTGTCTTTGACAACTCATCACTTTTATTACTACCCTAATTTCATTAACACCTAATTTTGATGACTGATTTTGTATTACGCAACTCCAATTACCAATCTCCAATTGTTTAGTTAAAATAACCAAATAATAAATCGTATTTTTGTTTGACAAACTTAATGCACACATACATACAAAATAACATATATATATTTGCGATTTTACACCATTGAAAATGAATTCGCCGCCGAAAAGGGACGTAACTCTTCCTCCACAACATCTAGACTACTGAATGCGAGTGGAAAATGATTAAATCAGTCTTTGCTTTCGACCGATAGGTATCCAGCTGTAGAAATTTGTCAGTCGCCTATTCCATAACAGCTTTCTATAAACTGATCTATTTACAGTCCCATCAGTCCTCTTTGAAAGCTGCATATTGAGAAATTGAATGTCAGGCTCATTCTCCATGTCGAGTGACAATTTTATCATTGGATAGGAAGCATTAGATGCATTTATTATATATATTTTTGAAATAATATTTTTCATCAAAATAATAAAGCTTTCATTTAAAATACTTCTTATACAATAGAAAACAATGGGCTGCTAACTTCAGCTGACCATCTTCTGAACTGGCCATAAAATAATCTACAAGAAAATGTGATGCAACTTCTAAAACTAAGAAAACGCCTTGCATAAACTTTGAATTGAAAAGTGACTTAGTTGCCAACATCCTTAAAAGAAAAATCGCCACAGTCGGTGAAAAGGACATTCCCTGAAACATTGTTGAGAATAGGATGTTTTTATAAACCATATAACAGGCTTATTTTGTTTGTCACCATAAACATTATTATTAATAGGAATCATATATATATATATATATATATATATATATATACTATTCTACAAATTGAGAATAAGTTCTCGAAGCTGATCGGTTTAGTTGTGGAGCTTTCATCGTCCCCTTTCTGGACAATATCCCAATTCAGCAAAATTTTTGGCATAAACTGAAATGATTTAAATTTTCCATGAGTGACGGAATTACGTCTCTCGGTAACCATCTTTACATCTGTATTTATCATTTTTTGATTGACTTGGATTTCAAACTTTCTCGTCACATGTGATTTACTTTTTATTAGTTTGTAGATTTGGTCTATATTAACATCTTTGTTAATTGCATATTCATTTGGATACCAGGCGTCTAGAAATCCCCTGACTGCACTTTTAGTATATCCTCTGTCTAAAATTTCGAGATTATCCCAATCAGCAAATTGGTGCTCAAAGTTATCCATATTGGAGGAACCTGAAAGAAACAACCTCCTTTACCTACCCACCTACCTGGGAAGCATCGTTTCAAACACAGGCAGACGGAAGTGATGAGGATATCAAAATGAGGATAGGGGAAAACAAGACAAGCTTTCATTACTCTGAAATCTGTGTGGAGGTCAACAGCATCACTCAGAATGAAAAGTAAGATGCAGATTTTCAACTCCAATGTGAAGTGAGTGCTACTATACGGATCAGAGACTTCGCACGTCATAAAGAGCATCTCAAACAAACTACAGACCTTCATTAACAGCTAACTGTCTTCGCTCAATACTAAAGATCAGATGGCAACAAAAGATCAGCAACAGAGATCTCTGGCAATGAGCGAACCAACCCAACAGGAACCGATTGTGAAACAAATAGGCAGGAAGAAATAGAGATGGATTGGCCATACTCCGAGGAAACAAACCATCAAGTGACATCACTAGACAAGCCATTGCTCGAGTGGAACCCCATTAGAAAGTGACGAGTTAGTTGGTCGTTACTGTGAGAGTAACTTGGAGGAATTCATGTGAAGAGGATATGAAAGCATGTGGGCAGACTCGAAGCCAGGGGATGAAAACGTTGGCAGAGAACCGAACTCAATGGATACACGCAGCTGAAGGCCTATGTTCCTCTAGGAATTAAAGAAAATAATAGTAAATAATTATCTATATGCAATGATATGATATATATCATTTCTTTTCACAGCTGATTTGTGTTCCTGGATTCAGATTCGAAGGGGACGCTCACTTTAACCGATGTAATGTCTGTTACAGTTCATACAACTAATTTTGTATATCATATTAACTTCATCTCTTTTTTCTGTTGGATGGGTCTTTCGGTTTGCACAATATCGAATGAGGTGATTTGACTGGCTTGTATGCTATATCTATTTCAAACAGTTTCAATATTCTATCTGTTATTTCAGAGATATTTTTCATGTATGGTAGGACGAATTTTCTTGTGATCCTTGATGACAGTTTCTTGTTGGTTTTGTGATTCGATTTGGAACACTTTTTCAGGAATTTTTGTGGATATCCATTCCTTTTCAAGACCCTTAATAGGTATTTTTTCCATTCTTTTCAACGCTGGAGTGGTACGGCTATTGAATAACTCAGATAAAACTTAAACCTGCCCTAAAAGTGTTGTCTAGAAGCGGTGGACGACAAAGGCTTTTGCAATTAAATCAATCAGCCCAAGAAGATCATAACCACTGAATCAAAATCACCCATCTCCATTATTTGAGAATGAGTTCTCTGTTTGAAAGGACTCTTCTCTGAATCACCTGTTTTTGTTCTTCTATACGCTTCCGGTAATCAAATTCACATACACCTGTGAGTTGACATCTTCCTAAGTAATTTGCAGGCAGTCAGTGTATGAGACAGACTAAATTTCAGCTTAATAACTTTGTATTGACAAGGATGGTTGAGATTAAATCGATAGACGGACAACAGAAACCGGATTTTATTCGCTTTTACGATTCAGTAATTCAATAATTTACTAATTTTTTTTTAAATATATCAAGCTTCAAGCGTTTATGCTATTTCCTAATGGTAATATGAATTCATGTCGAAAGGATGTAATCCATGGCAGGGGAACAAAAAACATCCTGGATACTTCAAAATTTCATGATCAAGCAGCTAATTTTCGAGAG